CCAGAGGTTTTGTTGAGACATTTAAACACTTTTCTTTCAGTGTATATTCTATTTCAAGAATCTTTATTTAGCAATTTTTGTATTCAAAACAATCTCTCAAAATGCTTATAGATCTACTAAGAGAGATTCATTGTTCGTTACTCTTCTTGATTCTCTACCTTGAGGTCACTGATTAAATATACTGATAAAACTAATTTTCTTGAGTGTCATGCTACATTAACAAATATTATATGCCTTTTTTCCCAATTAAAGATCTTTCCAATTTTTTTCCTGTTAAATCAGGAAAACATCAATATATAGTACAGTGGTAGAATCAAAAGAACTTTGAACTTAGACTTGGGTTCAAATTTAGAATACACTATCCTACAACCTATGCAAGTTTGGGTTTAACCATGCTAAATCACAGTTTCTTCCTGTATGAATGAATATAATAGTACACGCTACACAGATGTTATGAGAATTACATCATAAAGCATATGTAAAGTGCAAAACATTACAGGAAGCTTTCGGCGAATGTTAGTTCTCCCTTTTCACAAAACGAAAGGTCACTTTTCCCCTTACTTACTGGCCTCTTTTTTAAAGAGAAGAAACTACTATTTCTTCTACACAATAGTTTATTATAGAAAGAAAAAGAGAACCTTGAGCAAAGGATACAGTAAAGCTTAAAACAGTCAACAGCTGGCTAAATTCATTGAAAAAAAGGTATGATGATTTTAAGAGTTTTTCTTACAGACAAAGAAACAAATGGGTTCTTTCAGGTGGCAGGGCAAGGGGTGCTGCCTTTGTCAAGGAAGAGCCCTAAGGAGTTAACAGAGCGCAGAGAGAAATAGTGATAAACAAAGAGAGGGACACATAAAATAACCTCCAGAAAATAAAAATAATTATAAACATGAAGAGGGAGCAAGTTTGAAATTTTATAGTTTTGCTGGATTGTTCCAAAAAATTAAATAATTAGATGTTTTAATTTGAATGTGATTTTTAATGAAATGTGCCTTACAAAATTGTATCCATTATACTGTGTGTGTGTGTGTGTAAACACACACACACACGTATCACTCTACAGGGTTGTACAAAAACATGTATACTATGTTTCATAAACTAGTTAAGTGATTTTTAAGGGTATACTGAACTACAACTCCACTGTGTTTAAAATGATTATTATACATTACCAATTAAAATAGTATTACTTCTGCAAATATGGAATTAAGTACTTTTCTTTTTACTGAGTTTGCTTTTAAATAATTGCCTACCAAGAAGTTAATGTCATAAGTAAAACTGTCATATGCAGGAAATTTGTTTTTTAAATTCTATTATAATACTATTTTGACTTGATTTGAAGTTTAGGTGTTTTGCTTTCTGCACGATATATTTCTGATATAAATCTGACTCCCTACCCTATTCTGAAATAATCTAACTCAACAAATTACATTTTCATGACTCTAGTATATTTTTGAGGAAAAAAAATTATGATCAATGTAGCTCAGAGTTATCTTTCATCTTGTACATTCTCTTACCCTTAGGTAAATTTTCTTATTGAAGAAGAATAACTACCATTTGTAATTAAAAGTATCATAACTATATGTTAGGCCCACTGAAAATTCTATAATAGCTATTAATTTGATGATTCTGAAGTACTGTCTCAAGATTCAATTCAATTTTAAGGTATGTTTCAATTCAGGAAAACCTCTCATTTGTAAATGTTGATATCTTCAGTCAAACCACCAAAAAGATTGGTGGTTTACTAAAGAGATGTGAAAAATATACAGACTACTTGGTTCCTTTTTTCCCACTGACCCTAGAAAACTAACTTTTATGACACTACTTTCCACAGCCAAACAGTTTAAAAGTATAAATATGTCTAATAACCTGAGATCAACTCAGAGAGACATGCTTTTCCACTGCATCTTTAGTCTCATTATGTACTAGAAGGCTATCTTTACCAGAAAGATCACTTTAATCTTGAATCAGGTGCAATAATGATACCACTAGCAATAACAAAATATACACTAATAAAATTTTCAGGTTTGAAATGTCTTCAAGCTAGCTTTACAAACTAGAACATTAAGTAACGTATCATTGTATACGTTACAGTCCATCCAGTCTTATTCACCAGTCCTGGCTCTATTATCAGTTGCACTTGAATCACTTTTTAAAAATATAAATACCCAGTGCCTAATCTAAGAGGATCAGATTACAGAGGTCTGATTTTTCTCCCTTCAACCTTCAAAGGGAATGACAAGGTACAGCCATGTCTGAAAATCACCATTATATGCCTTCTACATCGATCATGTATAGTATAATGAGAACTGGGAAGGCAAGGTTATGTCCTCAAAGATTAATGATATTGGCTATATAAAATTTACTATGGCAGTAGGGTTGAAATAGTACACTTTAGAGCAATGAAAAATTAGTATTAGCATACATATTTTTATTGTTTAAACATCACAGAACACAATCAGCTAAATCTTCAGGTGCATTCCAGTTAAATATGCTATAAAAGTCCCAGTGTACTGTACAAAAGAGAAAAACTAGCAACACAACTTTTTTCCCCCAAGAGGATCTATTTTCAGTTGGGTTCATATACAATAGTTATATTTTATTTCCACAAAAATATACTTCACAAGGAAAGCAATTATTTTGGAAGACATTTTCTGAAATAAGAAAAATAATTTTCCCAGGAAAATATTTCAGCATTTGATGCTACAAACCTAGGAGAGTAAATACAAATTGGGGGAGGGGGGGCTTTACTGGGAACTGCATAGAAACAATCAAATAAGGTAAAACAAAACACCTTTACCCTGTATCGATTGTACTGCTTTATGTTTTTTGTTTTTAGTTGTTAGCACAGGGAAAACAAAATCCTATGTTAAAATACAACATTGTTTAAACTATGTTATTCTTCCTCCAATTTGAACAATTTGTTTGAAAAATGAAACTGATATTTGCTTCTATCTTTCCACAGCATTAAGAAACCTTACTAAACATAAAGTGTCTGGTAATTTGTTGTGAAAATGAAGAGCATACAATGGACCCGACTAAACAGCACAGTGTAGTCAAAAGGAAAGACTACCACTTCAGGAGTTAAAAAAAGCTTGATCTACCACCTGCAGGGCTTTGGGCAAATTCCTTTTACTCTTGCACTTAATAATCTGAAAATGAGTTTATTAACACCTTGTTACAAGGTTATTAGAGAGGTTACAGATATTGTAAATAAAGCTCTTAGTAAAGTACCTAGCTCTTAGAAGACACTTAATAAAGAGTAGCAATTAGAATAATGATAATCTGAGAGCTCGCCCTCTCTCTCTCTCTCTCTCTCTCTCTCTCTCTCTGTCTCTCTCTCTCTCTGAAAAACTAACTCTAATGTTTTTCACCTTGGTAAACTTTTTGGATGCATAAAACCTAAAGTATGGTAATCTTGAACAATATGGAAGAAATAAAAATAAATTCCCAATATGTGAGCTACAAAATAGCTGAACATTAATTTCCTCGTTAAAATACAGAAATTGGGTGGAAGCTCCTTGAAGAATCTTTTTCAAAAGTTCAAAATCTCACTTCATGGATTTTTAACAATTACAACAAAATTCTACACTTTTCCTAGGATTTTTATTCCTAGAAGAAAAACAAAATGTTCATCCACCTCCAGAGAAATAAGCATACTGTCTCATCACCATAGCAAAATAATATGTTGACAGTGCCAACCTGGCAATGAAAGGTCATAATAAGCCAGCCTAGATTCACTACTCCTTTTAACCGATTTTCTGGATCTCAGGCACTGATTTAAAAGCCTTCTGAAAGCCAAGATAATCCCATTTTCATCATGAATCATAACTTCAAATTATTATTTCAAAAGGTAAACATTTAATTATTTAGGATCTAAAAATCCTGAAGACAGTGGATTCTTTTCAATGATTACTCACAGACAGATAGTCATAGAATTTAAAAAGCATGCCCAACTTTATTACTAGGAATTTCCTTCCAAACAAGCTTACAATAGTTTAGAGATCAAAGTGCTTAATAATAGTCATAATTTTCTTTATATGCTGCCACTTGATATAATTTTGCAAAGGAGACTATGTGCCTTTATGATGTTCAAAGGTGAAAGGATACTTCTTACATCTACTAAATGTGCTATTCTTTGGTCTCTTTTATTTTTATTTATCAAAATGTTTCTTAATAGCTTAAAATTGGTTTATTATTGTACTTTACACAATAAAAGGTCCTCTTAAGTACTGCTAAAGATTTAAAATATCAGCTATGTTTTATCTATAACATGATATATAGAGAAGAAATTTTTTCACTACAGTGGTCAACCAAGTAGCTAAATTTAGTATTCAAAAAATATATTCATTTACTATTCAGAAATTGATAGGACTATAGATAGCATAATTAAAATTGAGTTGTATAGATGTACTGTATTTCTAGGTTTCCTGGTAAAGATTCTTCTTTAGTTACTTCCATTCCTAGATATGTTCCGGGTTTCCGTTTTGTCCCCAAATATTATTTATTTAGCTTCTCTATCTCTATATTCCTTTCTCTAATTCTATCAGTTTCCTCTATAGAGTAAGTATATCTGATGAGTTTAATTTAAATGCATCTTTGCTCATCCCCACTAAATCTAAAGTGTCTGCATTCCTACTCTTTGTAATGTAAACTTGCTAGTGCTCCATTTATCCATTAGCAAAACTAATATGGTAATAGTCAAACAAAATAGACTGATAAAGTGCTCATGTAGGTATACAATACATAAAAGCCTTCATAAAGACATTCAAACCCAGATTTCTCAATTCCCCTGCCTCCACCACTGACTCACCTCAGTTCATCTCTTCTCCTGCCCTATACGACTACTATGCCGAAACTGGAGAGAATTCCATTCATAATCTGTCACTGAATTTCTCTCTCTAAAATGACATATACACATGCTATCAAGTAATGTATTTGAGAATCTCTACATGAAAAATTTCTGGTATTTCCTACTTTGTAGAGTCCTAACAGATACATACCTATGTCATATGCCAGGAAATCGGCAGAAAAACATTTTGCACCGTTACTCAAGGAAGTGTCATTATGGGTATTTCCTCCAAAAATAAGCATAGCTCCATTGATAAGAACAGCTGAATGAAGGTATCTGGCAAACCCACTTTCTTTCAAAATAGTCCTACAGGATAAAATTTAAAAATGTATTACAAAGGATAAAAAGATCTCCCTGATTTTATATATATTACAGAAAGGATCTAATTTGCATATAGAATTTTCCTTGGAATTGTGAAAAACCATGCTTTAGTATTTTCAACAACTTATAAATGGCCTCTAAATTTCAATATTTTAAAAAATATTCTGAGATTCATAGTACCTTAAAATGCTTTCAGGAAACACAATATTAAACATAATTGTTAATGATTTTATAATAATATATTTTGAAATTTTGTTTTCATTTATAGAAGTAGGAAACAAGTCTCCTTTAAACTAGAGGACCAAATTATCATCAGTTTTAAATACCAAAGTAAATATAAAGTTAAATATAATAAATTTACTCTGAACAATACTCAGTTAAAACTACATGGCTCATATGAATCTCAAAATATGCTTTCTAACTTTTTAAATATGATATAACATACATGAAAGTGCACACATCATAAGTCTAACACTCAATGAATTTTCACAAGATGAACACAACTAAGTAACCAGTACTAAGATCAAAAAATAAAAATTACCACTATTCTGAGTCTAACAGCAAATATTTCTATTGCTGCCTTTGTACTTTACAAAATGGAATCACATAGTTTTTATTAATTTGTATGTATGTCCTGTTGCTTAAGATTATTTTTGAGATATACCCATATTGTGTATAATTGAAAATCACATTGCGTTTTTGAGAAACATTCAAATTAAATTAAATGTTCTTTTAATTAAAGTGTAATTATGAGAGAAATACTACAAATATATGCTCACAATTATATTTTACCTGAATTCACTGATATATATATAATAAAGGTTCATGACAATGTGAATCAATACTTTATACTCTATAAATAAATCCCTGGTACAAAGAATCAACATGTCAACATAGTATGTATAGTATAGTTAGTAAGGTACATACAGTATCTCAAAAGCTATAGATTATAATACCAATTAATGCTTAAAGAATATGGAATTCACTTCCAGAATGTCAATATAAGGAGTTCCATAAACAGTCTCCCCAGGGAAAGAACTATAATTGGTAAAAAAAAAAAAAAAAAAAAATTTGGATCTCAAAAATGTTGCCAAGAGCAACAACAAATAAAGAAATATTTGCTCAAGAATATATACTAGGGCTTCCCTGGTGTCTCAGTGGTTGAGAGTCCGCCTGCCAATGCAGGGGACATGGGTTTGTGCCCCGGTCCGGGAGGATCCCACGTGCCGCGGAGCGGCTGGGCCCGTGAGCCATAGCTGCTGAGCCTGCGCGTCCGGAGCCTGTGCTCCGCAACGGGAGAGGCCGCAACAGTGAGAGGCCCACGTATCGCAAATAAATAAATAAATAAATAAATAACAGCAACAGTCCACGATATTTGACTCATTACCAACTCCCGTTCTTCTCATCACTGCCACCTCCCCACACATACACAACCAGTTAGGCAAGACTGTTCAACCACAGGCTGGTAAAATCAAGAAGACTATGCTCCTTCATCCCTCAGCTCCTAGTCCAGACCATTAATATACAACCAGGAGCAACAGACTGCCAATATTTCTCAGGCCCCCGAACTCTTAGTGGCAGAAGTTCTATTCAAGGAGAAAGCATGCGAGGTCCGAGTCCTCATTCTCTACCTCGCCACCACCCACAGGGTGAAAGCTATACACCAGGCCTCAGAGATTAAGAACAAGAGGACCAAAAAGTCTTCACCCCTAATTCATAGGGCAGCAGTTCCAAGATAAAAGAGGCAAGCTGAGAAGCGCAAAGGCTACCATACCCATCCAGTTCTCTGCACATAACACAGTGGTTCAATGAAAGAACAGGCTACAAACCCCACCTATATTTCCAAAGCAGTGGCATAGAGGTTTTCTCCCACAGGGAGAGACAGCCTAAGAAAAGGAGAGGCAGGCTAAGAAAAGGAGAGCCCCAAAAGTCTCAAGGGAACTTGACTTTATTTGGTACAAGGTGGCAAACTTCAAGCCTTAAGGGCACTCGAAAACAATGGAAGTAGTGGTTGTAAGCAATTAAGAGATAGCTACATGAGAACAATAAGCTACAACATAGACAAGCTAGAAGTTTATCAGAGAAAACCAGGGGAAAAGACAGCTAATAAGAGCCTTACTGGGGTCAGAGCCTCAAAGACTACCCCTGGAAAAGGTTTGAAATGGAATTCAGACTGTGGGGCAATTTATGCCCCCAGAGCATTGTTGAAAATAATAGAACTGGGGCTTCCCTGGTGGCACAGTGGTTGAGAGTCCGCCTGCCGATGCAGGGGACACAGGTTCATGCCCCGGTCCGGGAAGATCCCACATGCTGCGGAGCGGCTGGGCCCGTGAGCCATGGCCACTTAGCCTGCGCGTCCGGAGCCTGTGCTCCGCAACAGGAGAGGTCACAACAGTGAGAGGCCCACGTACCGCAAAAAAAAAAAAAAAGAAAATAATAGAACTATCAGTTGGCAATTAGTGGAGGCTACCAGGTGAGTTTGATACAAACAGAGGCAGAAAGTTTAACAAAGAGCTCAGAGGAAAAAGTCAAAGAGCTCTGCTAAAATTACTATCATCCCAGGGTGACTGTGTGCATACCCAGGCTGTATCATCTGAGGAGGAACATCAGAGGACGCATTTGGAAGAAGAAACAGACTTCTCGAAAAGAGTTCAGCCAAGTTACTAAACAAATAAAATTACAACAGCCCCAGAGAGGAAGGAAAAGTCAGGATCCAGAGTTGCTACAATATATTATCTAAAATGTCTGGTTTTCAGGGAAAATTATGGCATGCAATGAAATAGGAAAGTGTGACCCATACACAGGAATAAAAGCAAGCAACAAAACTACCCAGATGTCAGATGAAACAAAAAAGACTTTAAAGCAGCTATTATAAATATAGTCAAAGACTTAAAGAATACAATGTTTAAAGAAGTAAAGGAAAATATGACAACACCTTATCAAATATAAAACATTAGCAAAGAGAAATAACAAAAAAAGGAAAATTTGGAGTTGAAAAGTGTAATACTGAAATTTTAAAATTTAGTAGAGAAGCTCAACAGTATATTTCAGCAAGCAGCAAGAAAAGAAATCAGTGAACAAGTAGATAAATCAATAGAGATCCGCAATTCAAAAAACAGAGAGGAAAATGAACAGAGTCTATGAGAAATGTAGAACACCATTAACAGCAGCAACATACATTTACTGGGAATACTAGGGCAGAGGAGGAAGAGGTAGAAGACTTTTCAAGAAATAATGGCTGACAAGTTCCTAAATTCGATGAAAAACATTAGCATACACATCCAAGAAGATCAACAAACTTCAAGTAGGAAAAAATACAGAAAGAGCCACACTCAGACATAAAATAGTAAAAATACTGAAGGCCAAGGGTAAAATCTTTAAAGCAGCAGGAGAAAGAAGGTTCTTCCCACACAAGAGAACCCCAATAAGATAAATAGTTGACTTCTCATTAGAAACAATAAAGGCCAGAAGGCCACGGGATGGCATATGAAAAGTGTTAAATTTTTTAATGTCAGAATACGAGGATACAGGGAGAGACATCAGCAAGACGGAGGAATAAGTTTCCTACTGTGAATAAAAAATATTGCCTGCCATATGGTAAACAAATGAAGGTGCAGCCATTGAGCCATCACACTGCAACCATGACGGTGAGCCCTGAGAGAACTCAGGATGGAAACAGAATGTGCTCCACTGCAGCCACCCAGGACAGTGCACCCTGAGGAGACTCAGGATGAGAAGCACAGGATAGGGGCCCCAGATAGCTGAGGTGCATATCAAAGGAATGATCTCAATGAGCCTAGACTTTGCATCTTCCCATACACAGAAAAGCACTAAATTCCTTAACTTGAGATATCTGGGGTTTTTTTTTTTGCGGTATGTGGGCCTCTCACTGTTGTGGCCTCTCCCGTTGAGGAGCACAGGCTCTGGATGCGCAGGCTCAATGGCCATGGCTCACGGGCCCAGCCGCTCCGTGGCATGTGGGATCTCCCCAGACCGGGGCACGAACCCATGTCCCCTGCATCAGCAGGCGGACTCTCAACCACTGCACCACCAGGGAAGCCCTGGTTTTCTTTAAATTAACAGCAATCTTTTGATGTTCTGACTACCTGGTCTTTGTTGCAAAAACTGCCATATACCTGGCTCCTGCTTGCCTCTTTGCAGCAGTCTCTCAGAGTTCTCCGAGATGCTATGTCACAGGCTTAAGTCCTCAGATTTGTCCACCGAATAAAACATAACTCTCAACTTTTAGGTTGTGCACTTTTTTTTCAGTCGACACTGCCTTCATCCTCCCACAGAAGCACTGATTTTGTCAACTACTCAGAGACAGGAGTACCTTTGTAAGTGCCCAGCAGAGAAGTCCTAGCACCACTTGGAGCAAAAATTCCAAGAACAGGACTGAAGAGGGTAAGAAGAACAGATTCACTTTACCACATCACCCCCACCCCCAAGACAACAGCTCACTGCCAAGAGAAACTCATTCAATCTGCTTTTTCTCCGAGGGGGAAAGTGAGAACCTAGTAAGTGCCTAGCTTCCATGGCCAAGCAGGATGATGCCCAAGAAGCCCACTTCTTTCTCACCCATTCCAAAACAATGACAGGATGGGCAGGGGAGGGAAAAGGGGGCTCACGGCAACCAGGGTAAAAAACCCAACAGGGCTAATGTTTCTACTAACTACCTCATGAACTTTACCGAGAGACCCACCCATAAACTTCATAGAGTGTATTACCTGTAGATTCACCTCAACTAGCACACCCATGCTCCCAACAATCCATAAATCCCTCCCCCACGTAGCCCGCACCCCATACACACCCCTGCAGACAGCACACTTTAGCTTCTGCAGGTCATGAATGAGCACACACATATAACCGGCTCAACTCTGTTGCCATGGAAGAGTGTGCATAACCTTGAACACTTCAGGCACTGCCCTGGGGAAAATAAATAAGACGCTCTCAGTATCAGGCCTGGCTTTGTGTGATGGAGAAAA